ACGGCGCGGTGGCGAGACGTGCCGCCGCCGCCACCGCCGTTGTCGCCGTTGGCTACCCGTGCTGCCAAACGAAACGAGTAACACACGACGACGCGTGCGTATTTCGCGCGATAGGAGTATCACTCGATAACGTTTTATTCTTACGCGCATACTACGGTGTACCTACTACACACCATACACGTAAAAACCGTGAAAATCTTAGATGAATACGTATCGTGTATAACGTTCGGTGACGGTGTACGTTGTTTATGCGTGTGAGAGACTTCCCCGGACGGGTCGGCCGCGGCGCGGAGGAGAACCGTGAGAAATACGCCTTCGCATGCAGGGCGGGCGCGAGAGACGCACGCGAATCGAACCGTCAGTGTTTTATAGCTGCTAGATACTTAATAAAGTCGGCGACGAGCGCGTGCTAGTTTGTGTACGATAGTGGTAGTGGGCAGCTACGACGACGACGACGTAGGACGGCCACGCTCTGGAGGTGCATATAATATAATATCCGTCTGCGCGCGACGCGTGGGTGTCATCGTCGTCCGAAGATGAGATAGGTGCAGCGCGTGCATCGTCGTCGTCCCTGCGCGCGCGCGCGCGTGTGTGTGTACGACTTACGCGCTCGTATCACGTTAAGCGCTCGCCTCCCGCAGAGGGGCTTTATTATTACGGTACGGAGCCGTTGGTAATAAAAAAAAAAAAAAAATACGTATACGTATGATATGTAAAATATGTATATATAAACATTAATATATTATCAGGGCAGAAATAATAACGGCGACAACAATGAGAAACGGTTAGTGAGAGAGAGCGCTGAGGTACTATCACACCGCTCCGGCGTGTGCTTGTAATGAAGATGTATAAAAAATAAGAAATAAATAAAAAATGATACATGTATAAATCTGTGTGTGTGTGTGTGCGTGTACGTCGAAGACGATGATGTGTATCGCTGTAGTGCTGTGCGCAATACGTAAATAAATAACGTGTGGGGAAGCGCCGCGCGGACACGGCGCCACACACCGAGCGCTCGACGTTTAAGGTTCGACAACGGCGGCAGTGACGCTACGGGACGCGCCTGGCCGTTGTCGAACGTTCTTCGGGGTGGAAGCTGTTCGATACATTTTTTTTTTTTTTTTAGTACGATTGTAAACATAAGAAAGCCGGGTGGGTTGGCGTTTCGGGAAAGTTCCCGGTGATCCGGTTTTTGTGCGGGTCACATTGTTTGTATTTTCAACTTTTTTCCTGTGAACAATTTTAACTTTTCACCATTCAAAAGGTTATTGCAAGGCGCTTTGATTTATTTGTATTTCTCGGACCGGTAAATATCACCAACCCGCCCCTCGATTTATGAGCACGGTCCGGCGATATAGTTGCGCGTATATTCGGCATCGTGTGCCATGGATTTATGGTCGAGCTTGTTTTCCTGTTTTGTCGTTTCGACCCCAAACATGCGTACGTACTCGCGCACATTTATATACCCATAATGCACATAATGTGCATACAGTGTGTATTCGTTCCTATCACTCGTAACTGGCAGTTGGGAAAAAAAAAAGGAAAGCAAAACAAAATCAATAATTAAACGACTGCGACCCGGTCGTTTTGATTTAATACGTTGCCGCCACTGCGGTCGTCGTCGTGAAATCCGATTGAAGACGACGCCAAATAACACGTGTTCAATACCATTGCTGATGGCTCGTTAGATACTCGGTACACGCGTGCGTATTTCGTGCCCCGCAGGTTGATGATCACACGTAGTTGTCTATTACCACCTCCTGTTTGTGGTTTTTGGATTCCTGCATTTTTACGACCTGTATATTTAGTCAAATAATTGTTTTGTTTTTTCCCCATGCGTGTTGTGCGATTATACTGCGTTATTACAGAAACATTATAAAAATGCGACTTTTCCACTACACATAAACGATTGCTGTTGTCGCGTCACTACTGTCGTATATTATCAGATCGGACTAGACGAATACTTGAAATTATTTTGTTTTAAAATACAGATTGAACTACGGTATAAGACGGTTGTATTTTTAAACTTTTTGACTTATAGAAAAAAAAATTTACATAGTTAAACCGTTCGATTATTTTGTAACGTCTTAAGTGATTCCAAGTATTTCATTCATGTTGTATATTTTCATCTTTGGCTATTTCCGTTCTATTCAATCATTCCTCGCTGTATAATCTCTAATTCCGAAACTCTACAGTTATGGTCAACATCATAAAAAATAATATATTCGCTAATTTTATAATTAAAAATTATTGAAAAAATATTTCTGCGTGTAACCCGTAATGAATTATTATAATCTAATTTTTGTCTACATACCTACATTCACTACAAACGGATCGCTAACCGCAACTAAAAACTATTCTTTTTTACATTTTATTACTTTTTAGAGTACTACTTTATTATTCAGCCATTTATATATACTGAGTGTGACAAATTGATGGCGGCGGGAAAATACACTAATTAACGTACCTAGTCACAAGAAGGGTTACGTCATGAGCCGATCTAGTCGTAATCGTTCAAGTGAATAATAAGAACGAGAACGATGAAAAACTATACTGTTCGCCAGAGTGACTTTTTGGCGTTTTTAACTAGAGAGGATGTACCCATGACCGTCCATGACACCGACTTGTCTGTGATCACGAGAGAGTGGATTCGGTATTACAATTCGCTGTAAATAGTAATTAGAAATTTTGTTTTTCTTACCGATGATAATTCGTTAAGTTTTCCCATCGCAGCCTTTTTTTTTACATATTGCCAATCAAGCGCAGCGGAGTATAATTAAAAAATATATACATTGGATAGAAAGACAATTCCTACGAGTTAAAACTACAAAAGAGTTTAAAAAAAAACAATTCATAGAAGATTCAGATTTTTTTAAATTTTCTGTTGTAGTACCCACTTAATTTCTGTTTCTGCATATAGTATATATACTATCCATACTCGATTTGCGTATTCAAATGAAGAAATATTAATTATTCAATGACTAGAGTGTATAGGTACTTAAACAAATGCATAACGGTATATGTTTTGAATAACGGTACGGTTTGTTTATATATGTCGATATCGAGCCTAAACGAATGTGGTTTAACTATATGATTTTATATCTTTATTTAAAAACAAATTACTTGCAATGGGACATGAGAACATTGAACATCATAACGTCTGAGTTATTAGTTTATACTCAAGGAGTGTCATTTGTAGCGCTCTGTAAAAGTAATTGATGAAAATACAATCTATGATTCTCACAAACCTTTTATTAATGAGTCAATGAAAATATTTGTGTTCTTTTTTAAAATTTAAAATTCCACTTCATTTTTAATTTAATACAACTTGTTATTTTCATTTCAAAACGTTTGTAAAATGCAATTGTGAATAGTACTTTTTAATTTTCATTCATAACAATCTGGACGCGTAAATTATAATTTGTATATGTACTACCTATGAAAGTATATTGGTATAAATATCATGTTTATACATATTTATGTAAACAGTTTTAAATTCGTATAATAAGGTTCAAGAATGTGTTTGTGTATAGTTTAATTTTGGTTTTTCTTGTTTATTTCATGTCGGTTTTATTTTTTAGTAGTTCGTCCTCTTAAAATTTTATAACTATTCTTAATCGAACCGACAGCGGAAATATTTTCATAACTCGGCCGCAATAATTCATCTAGGGAATCTCGAGAATAATAAGTGTCCTATAAAGTACATACACGCACGAGGTATTTTTCTATTTATCTCTCTTTTGGCAAGATGGTTCTCATTTCATATGCGACTCGCAGTCTGAACAGTGGACAATCGTGCCGAAACGGTTTTGTCATTTCCCTCTTCGGCTCCTTCATTCGGCTTGGGGCACTACAGTGAATTCTTAATAAAAACTTGACTGGCGCCGGGAACGTAGCCAGCGCATCACGTATTGTTTATAGTTAAAAGGCATTTTGAATAATAAATTAATAATCATAAATATATACTACGCTCTATATATTATAATACCATTGATGTAATCTTATTACATACAAGTTAAAAAGACAAACAGAATAGAATATATTGTTACAATTATGTATAAACCGCATAAATATATGAAAGTAAACATTGAATTGGAATACGAGTGTAGATGTCTAATGTAGCTTACTAATGTGTACAATTAAATAAGTTATATTAAACTTATGAATATCATAAGAAAACGATTTAATGAATCAAATTTTAATTTTAGCATAATATGTATAAGATATTAGTATACATTTACGATTTACAATATATTATTTGTATCATAATGAACAATATATTTTATTTGCCGAAAATGTTTTCACCATTTTTGGTTTGTATATAAATTTGTTCATCTTACGGAAAAAGTAGATTATTATATTAGACGAATCATAGCTAATTTAAAACTCCTGATACAGTCAACGGATAACTAGTTTAACTCAATCGATGGTCTAGTAAAATATTTGATTGGACTTTGCTGATCTAAATTTTTTGAAATTTCATCATCAAATAGTTTCTAAGATCGAACATTCAGTATTGTTAATTTCTTGAAATTAGTTGTAAATACAATAAAAAAAAACAATATTATACCTACATACATTAAATTAATTATACATAAATCATACACTATTTAATATGTATTATTTTATATAATATAAATATGTATAAGTATGTTCGCAAGTGTATTACCGTAATATTTGAATATAAAATCAAAATGTATACTTTTAAAAAATAATTATTTTACCTTGAAATCAACGATTATCTTGATTTAATTCATCTTGGGAAATTATAAAAATTAAAAACCGTAGTTAATATTAAATTAGCTTAAAAGTAATATATTTAATAAGAATATTAGTTATGAATTAGTGAATGATTTTACTACAATTTAATACATACCTAGTGGATATAAGGGTCCCTTGAAAAAGTCATAAATCTGCGCCCCATCAAGCAAATGCATACTATATGATTTTAAAACGTATCGAACAAGCAACAAAATGTTAAATTAAAATATTTATTTTAGATGTCCGGCAAAAGGAGGCGAAGCTTTAAATGTGCCATTCATCACAGGGACAAAGAAGTAAACAGCGAAAACGATTTTCATATTTTATTGAAAGAACCGACGTTACACCAAAAGTGAGTTAAAACACTAATATTTTTTTCTTGCAGCTTTAAGGTATTAATGTATTTTAATTAATAATAATACTATTTACGTATCCAAAAATTGTTTTAATTTAAAGCAGTTTCAATGTATTTATTATTATTCATAACTACATTATCATTTAATCATAACTATATTGAAATAAGTAGCGTATACATTATTCTTACTTGAATTTCGATATCGTTACTATTACTATATATATATACTACTATTATTACTATAATACTATATTATACATCGATTATATAATCATCTTATCAAAGAAGTATATTCATTTATTTTAAGTACAATTATTAAAATTCATTTTAATACTCATAGAAAAAATTAAAATTAAAATCATTCAATTTAAAAATTTACCTTGGTTCATTATTTTATTATTATAATTAAATACAAACATAATATTAACTATATAACTTTATAATCAATGGCAATAGAATAAAATAAAAGTCCAAAGTCTATTAGATCGCGATAACCTGCCAACTAATTTAATTATTTTCTAAAATTGATTTGTTTTCATTCTTCGAAATCTATGTCATATCGATGACTTTTGTGTTATCAGTAATAAAAATTATTATTTTATTTATCATATATATTATAATAATATATAAAAACCTTATCAGTATATATTATATAATAGTATGAATTGATTTGATTTATAGAATGGTGCGTCTTGTGGCAGAGGAGTTCTTAACGGACGAAAGAGATCGAAAATATTATGCAGACAATTATCGTTGCTGCCCACCACCACTTTTTATACTTCTAATTACTATTTTTGAAGTGAGTTTTAAATAAAATTAATTATATTATTGTAAGCATATTAGATAAATTATTAAATAAAAACTGCACTAGAACCGCTGAAAGTAGATTCATTCATAATATTTCATATCTTAATAATGTATACATGTATATATAGACAATTATTATCATTCATTTATAGATACAATTGTATCGCGTAGGGTATCTCGTATACAATTTTTACAAGTTGATATTTGATATTTTTTCAACGGTGCAATAAAATTGAATGCTAAAGTAATTAAAAACTTCATAATAATAAGCCTTCATTAATGATTTTTGGTGTATACCAAATACCTAATACTTAGACAACATGTGGCACGTGGCATGTATTGAAAGCAAAAGTAAAGAAGAAAAAGAAATTGTAACAGATGTCAAGCGCGAGTTAAATTATACCCTCGGGGTAAACGAGAGCTATGCCATTTCCTATTTTCAGAAAACCATTTACTGTTTACAGCTGTCTACCTTTCTAAAAAGCCATAATCCCCTCTGGATTTTCGAGTGATTAATTCCTTTCATTGACGTATGCAGCTTGCAATAGCTTGTACATTTATATACCTTTATACATATTCATAACTTCATGCAAAATAATGTAATATCCATAAATGCTCCGTTGGTTATTAAAATGATACAAAGAGATCTGGAAAAATAAATACTGTTCAGATATTTTTTGCCGATAAGTTACAAATTAAAATATCACATTCGAGACATGTTTTTTTTTCATAAAATAATTATAATTTAATAAATTTTCATATTTTATTCTATATATTCAACCATTTTGTTTGTTTTTCCTATGGGTTTAATTTATTTAAAAATAACACTTATTCAAATGTATGAAATCCATTTAGTACTATTAATAGTGTATATAAAATAGAATAGTAGAACATTTATGAGTAAAAATGTTTTTGATTTATAATTTTTTTTTTTTTTTTTACAAAACACAATATCTTACAGTAGTTTATATAAAATCCAGTATTTTGTAATGTGAATATAGTGTCTATTTTTGTGTGTCGTAAAAGTACTATAATACACCCACAAGAAACGTAATGCCGGAAATTGAAACGTCTATAAATCAGAAGGGACACGTGCTCTTATTCTGTCTGGGATTTGTCCCAAAAAAAAAAAAAACCAACTTCATTTATACATTATACATATGCAACTTATTTTAAAATAACACAATGTTTTGAATACAATAGTTCTTTTCAACCAAACATTTTATACACCTATGTTTCATTCCACATTTTAAATTTTGTGAGTTTTGCTATACATAACAATATTGATTATTTTTAAAATTTAAATTATAATTTATTATTTTAAATTATTATAATTAATTGTGTATAATCTCAGTACAAGCAAATTAGTGTTGAAAAAGTGCCTAAGTATCTTAAAATTGAATATTCTTCAATTTCTAACACTGTTTTGTTAACCGCTAACATTTGTCACTTACTCTATAGTAGACAATAGAAAAATAGCTAACCTATCAAAATGCCTTCAGAAACTTGGCGCAATTAAGACAACTAAATTTAAAAACACTTAGGATTAACATCTCACTTCCTTATGAACTCCTGTTTCCTGTATTTATAATAGAATGAGTTCAGTTTTTATATATGTTTTCTTAATTTTAAACTCTAATTGAGAGTAAATATAGTTCTTAATAATTTAAACATCATGTCCTATTTTATTTTTATTTTTGCTTATGAGACAAATATAGATATTTTCCTGGGTGATAATACGTACAAATTTGTTTTAAGCAGAATAATGTATTTGAAACGTAATTCCCATTATAAGTTTAAGATCTTAAGATCATACGTTTAAGTTGATTACACTTGTTTGAACACTTTACATATTATAATAAACATTCAGTTGAATTAATTATTTGATATTTTTTATAATTGTTTACTTTTGCATTGTAAATAAATTAAATAATGTAATTAGTATTTCTAAAATGTATTTTTCGTAGAAATAAAACTTTTAATTGGTTATTACCCAGAGCCGAGCCAAAAATTTCAGCACCCCGTGGCAAAATTTTTTCTTAAGGGCCATTGGCCACAGGTAGTATATTAAGTGCAGATAAGAGCGCCCCCTTACTTTTACAAAACTACGGCACCAGGCGACAATTGCCCACTTTAGCTCCCTTTAACACGACCCTGTTATTGCCCGAACAACTTTGATTTTAATTTAAAATTAATAATTACCTACTTTAATAAAAGAAGTAATCATAATTAATCAAAATAATTCATTGAAGAAAAGCAATTATAGATTTAAAAATGTTTTTCTTTTTACTTTTATCTTACGATTTTTAACAATTTAAATATAATATCTTTTTTTTGTATTTATTTGTTTCATAACCTATTACAATAGTATGATATATAATGTTTTTTATTACAGTTATTTAATTCAAATTAGAAAGTTATTGTAAATTATTTTAAATAATATTTTCTTGAAGTAGAAAACTTATATAATATAAATAATTTATCTAAATATATCTATAAAGTATTGATTTAAAGAAATGTATTTAATACAATATAAATTATTGATATCAGTATTTTTGAAAGTTTAAAGGTTTAGGTCAATTTTGAAGGTTAAAGTGTTAGTGTCTAAGTAATATACAAAGAATACATTTATATAAATATAATTATTTATTGTAATAGGTATAACATCAATCACACAAAACTTACTATAAAAACTGTATATTTTTAAACGTTTTTTATTGTATTAAATTGTAAATAATTATTGTTACCTATATTATAATTATTATGTTAACAATCCAAATAATGTTAATGTTTTAGTTGGGAACATACCTATATTACTACTCTTTAACTTTGGGTTCAACTCCTGCTCCAGGAGACATGTGGGCTTCAGTCGCTGCCCCTGTCCCAATGGATAGTGTTTTTATATATAGACCTGATAAAAGACAACAACTTTGGAGATTTATGTTGTATATGTTCTTGCACGTTGGGTATGTATTAACAGTTTCACTAACATATATATATATATTTTTTTTAATTCATACTATATTATTATTCTGATTATTTTAGTTGGGTCCATCTGATATTCAATTTGACGGTTCAATTGCTTGTGGGTCTTCCATTGGAAATGGTGCATGGCTCACTTCGAATAGGGGTTGTATACATGGCGGGTGTGTTAGCAGGTTAGCATACAACTTAAAGTGCTTCATATTATGTGTACTCTTTAATATACATATGAACATTGAAACCAATATAAAATTATTTAAACTACAATAATTTTAATCAAAAAAATGTTGTTTTATAGGTTCCCTGGGTACATCTGTCTTCGATAGTAATGTGTCTCTCGTCGGTGCATCAGGTGGAGTATACGCTCTACTGGCTGCTCATTTAGCTAACGTTATGTTGGTAAGAATTACTAAAAATGTAATAAAACAAACACACGTAAGATATATTAAAATAACACGGACACATTGATAACTCATTTACTCGTATAATTAGTTATCTACTGACTATCTATAATAATTAAATATATTTGTTAATGAAAGAGTTTATTATACTTTCGCCTTTTACTCTTATGATTTTCAAAAGTTATACGTTCTAAATATAATACACTTCTAACTAGCTACCTATAGCTTATTATAAATAGGCAGCATATATAGAAGAGTTAGTAATAATTAAAATTTAATTTTAATATTTTATTTTAGAATTACAACAATATGGAATTCGGTGTATTTCGACTGCTTGGTATACTATTTATTGGTGAGTGTACATTTAATATAAATTGAACATCAATTATACTATAAGGCTTCTCTCCCATCTTATAACACAAGAGTATGTATGGTGAAATCTGTCTTAAGCGGTTCATCGTAAAATTATTATATTATAAATTTCCAGGTGTCAAAAACTATATTTAAAACGAAATGTATTTTTAAAGTTCAAAGCGGTCTCGTTTTGGACATTTTGCATTGTACAACAAAATGTCCTTGATATATATAAAAAAAAAATTTGTGGTGCAGTTTATTTATTTTCCTATACGAGGAAATTTTATATTTACCACCAAATTATTTTAGTTGGAAACTGTCCTCCAATGTTTACTAATTTCTAAATTTGCTCCGAAGTCCTTCTCTTTCTGAATTCTCTCTGTGATATCCTCAATCATCAATTTCACCCTTAGTTTCCTATTATATTTTTCTTCTTTATACATGTTTGATATGCTCGTTTTTATTGCTTTGCAGCCAGCGTAGATGTGGGTTTCGCCGTGTACTGCCGGTACGCCTTCGAACCGTCATCGAATGCTCCGCCAGTGAGTTACGTAGCGCACATAGCTGGAGCGCTGGCCGGCCTCACTATTGGTCTGCTGGTGTTAAAAAACTTCGAACAGAAACTCCACGAGCAGCTCATATGGTGGTTCGCGCTAGGCGTCTACGCCATTTGCACGTTGTTCGCTGTCGCGTACAACCTGAGTCATCCCGGTTGAAACGATTCGTCGTTTGTACGCTGGATCGGATTTTTATAATTACTTAGTTTCTCTTCCATGTGTAAATCTTCGTGCTGTCCAATTATTATTATATTTTTAATTTTCGTTTCCCTTACTATGTACAATTATCGTTTAATTTATTATTATGTACCGACCATGTCTGTGATTATTTTTCTGCCCGAGCTTCCGTCGATTCTTGAGCTGCTTCGATATATAAAATATTATACGTAGACGATACAGTAGTTTCGGGTATGTTTTAAAACTCACATTTGTTTCCGATCTGTCTAGTTGTAGATACCTATAGACGCTGTTCACTAACAAATCAGCTGTAACGACAGTGAACATCTGTATACAATATAATATATTAAATTTTAATTTTTTGGCCGTAATCAATCTCGATTTATTTTTATACATAATATGTAAATTGTTTCAAAATATTAAAAAAAAAAATTAAATAAATAAATAAAAACAATCCTTTACCAAGATAATTAATTAAATTAAGCATGCTTAATTTTAAATTGTAAATATTTAAAGATTATTTTAATATAAACATTTTTTCTAATGCTTTATTACATTCACTGCCAATTTAGATTTAATGGGTGGTTAGTTTTGCATTTATAAAAACAAAGTCTCTTGAATCAAAGTTCCAAAAATCCAGCCTGAAGTTTGCTGAATACAAATTGGCTGTGATGTTTATTTTTCAAGCAGACAAACACTTTCCTTAACTATAGTTCCTCTTTAACCACATAAACAAAAATTGCTCAACAGTGTAAATTTACTAAAGAGTTAGTATAAAAAAAATATACAAAACATCCAATTGTATTGTTCGTATTAAAAAAGATATTTGTAGTTTTAAAAATATAATAAACATATTTTAGTTTGTAAATAAATAAAAAATATTGATTCTTGTCATAATACAAATCTAGTCATAATTATATTTATATTTGTACTATATAATATGTTTAAAATATTAGTTAAGATACTCCATGTTTTAATGTATAATTTTATGTTACAAATTTTAGATAAAAATATGGAACTAAATGTTTGATTTTACGATTGCAGGTGTCTACGTAAGTTATATAGTTTGTGTATTGATTAAGTTTATTTATTTATTTTTAATTAAATAAAATTAATAAAAACAGTATTAATAACCATTGTTTTAACATGTGTTTTCTCGTATTCATAGGTAGTTATTAATATATTACTAAAATAACATTATAGTTTTTATAACAACTAGACTGCATAATAATGTTATATATAAGGGTTATAGAATGTGACTGTAGTCATTTACACTAGTTGTGAACAGCTCTCTGAGTTAGTATATGAGCTGTGATAGGTGAGTGCTTACTTGCATCATAGACCTTAAAACCCAGGTGTACTCACTGTGGAAATTGAATTTCTTATGCATAGGTAAATAATGTAATACATTATAGTTATAGAAAAATGATTATAATCATTTTTCTATAACAATCTACTTGAATATATACAATAAGGACCTGGTTTAGGCATTTTGAGGCCTTAAAACAAAATAAAAAATGTGGCATGTTAAGCTGTTTTTTTTAAGTATTATGTTTATTTGATAAAAGTTGTATTCTAAAATAAGAGGTTCATAAAAATCCAAGGCCTTTTAATAATGGAGGCCATAGGCAATTGCTTATCTTGCCTAATGATCAATGAGACTGCATACAATATTTGTGTTTATTTATTTTTCATATCTTCCTGAGAAACCAAATAATACCTATTTTAAAAGTATTATTTTACAGCACTGTATTGAAACAATATTAAATAATAATATTTTATATAATAAATATTAATATTCATATGTGTACGTTTGTGAGGAGGAACATTGGTATGCACTAAATTTAAAAAAATATTTGTGAATCATGCTTTAACATTATTGCTAGTCTATACACTAGACTTAATTATTAAACATTGAATAGACAGTATCTATAAACATGAGGTTATTGGATTATTAATCATTGTATATAATCATAATCAAATATTAAATATTAGTAACAATGCATTCTATAGAATATAATTTCATTTTATTTTTAACCACTTTTGAAATAATACTCAATATTTTACTTGAACTGATACAAGTATTTAAAAATGTCATTTAATGCATTTCAGAGTATTGTTTAATTTACAATTAATTGATTTCTACTAAAAACCATCAATGTATATTTCATTGGTTTTCAATTTATATGAAGCAACGGGCCCTAGTTTAAACTCAAATTGAGTGCAATGAATATATTGCTAAATAAAGTATCAATAGACCAAACATTTTCCGAAATTTTAAACAATTATAAATTTGATAATTTCAATAAAATTAAATTAAATTGAAAAACCACTAAAGTATTATAGAATCAAATACAAAATTAAAATTTTTTGGTCTTGATTGCTGATTTTTAGTATATTGTTCATTTTCACTACTTTAAGGATTATGCTTGAATATATTATAATAGCTATAGTCAACAAAATTGTGGTAATAGTTGTAGAAAATTAAAACTTTTCATTCAAAATAAATCTTTCAACATAACTGATTTGTAAATAATCAAAAATAAAATCACCAATCACTTTTTCCCTTTCACTTAAACATTAAGACTTGCATAATATTTAGTTTTAATAAATTAATTAAATGTTGAGAAAAAAACTAAATGACTGAATAATAAATTAGTTGATAGGTGGTATAATAAACATATAAAATAACTTGTATTTTATTTATAATTATTTCAAGATTACTTTTAACATACAAATTAATAAAATAGAAACAATTTTTAAAATTATCTACGTTTACGACCACCCTTTTGTTTTCCCAAACGCTTTCCAGTGTTTGCAGTAGGTCTTTTAAATGATCCTTTGCTACGTGATCGTCCTCCTTTCTTTTTATCATTGCCTTCTTTTTTCTCTCGCGATCTTCTATTAAGTACATATAAAAATGAATATAAAAGAGTAATCGGTAATTATAATTTCTAAACTTACTGGATTTCTTCGGCATGAATAGCCTTATTAGCAGCTTTTTCTAAATTGAATTTGGGTTTTTTATTATTTATCGATTCCAATATTTGAAGACTGCTTGATTTTTCTTCATTCATACTCTGAAAAAAACATATTTTTTATAATTATATTTATCTTATCTCAAATTAAAAATTTAACTGAAACAAATAATAAATTTAAAATATATTTTTTCTATTACATGTCTATTTACTTTTTATAAAAAATTCATAGTTAAAAAACTATTTGTGATGACTACATATCTTATCAAATTATATCTATAGGCAGTGGCGATTTGTGTGGTTCACATTAAGTGATGCACAAATAATTTGTTAAATACCTATGTATAAGCAGATTAAAAAATATTGATTTTGTTATAGGTATAAGTACCTAGAACATATTTAACAAAATTTAATTTTCTAATATTCTCTAAATTCTTCGCTGGGGTAAAATAAAAATAATTTTTGAAACATAAACACAAAATCTTGTTTCCACAATTGATGTCATATACAGAACAATAGAAATAAGTCAAGTCACACATTGATTATGCTCCAAATGACCATGTAGTACTAACCAACATGTCTATGCACATAGCTGGGTTATTTGGCTGCCTGGAGCACAATATATGTTCCATTAATTATTTAAAATGTTTAACTAAATTTTTTGCTTGTCTAGTTGAACCACTATATAAAATGAAAGTGTCATCAACATATGGCTTATATAAAAGTTTATTATAATATTTTTCATTAAAATAAATGATCTCTATGTAAAACAATTAATTTTTCTCAATGTATTCCTTTCTTTATATTTTCATATTCAGTCTCAATTTTAATTGAATTTGAATATACCAAACAATACATTTTTAATTCAAAACCAGTTATACTTAAGAAATATAATAATATTCTAACCCTTTATTAGTTACTATTAGTTAATTAATTAATTTATATATTCATTAATATGAAATTTAATTTTTCTTTTATTGACGATGCAATGTTTAATTTGTAAAAAAATAAAGTACATTGCTAATGTTTCAGTGTTAAACCATTTAGTTGTAATAATTTCGTCATAACACATTAAATAAATAATACAGAACTAGTAATAAAGTACTTTTAAATTTCATCAGAGATAAATTTAATTATGCATTAATGTTGATACATTTCTCATTTTGAAAGTATTCACAATGCCACTAATAAATACAAAATAAATTAACACAAGCACATACTTAAAATTAAAATTAAAACATATTAATATTAAATTAGGGACAATCAATTTGGAAATAAATTGTGAAACCTACATTATGTTTTAATTGCATATTTAACACAAAATTTGAAAGCATTCAAATATTTTTTTTGAACATTCAATTTATATAAAAGACTTAGTAATTTTGAAATAAGTAACATTACAAGTCTTTTATAATAATACGTTATGGCAGAAACTATATGTAACTATATAGTTTATATTTTATTGCATAGATATTGAATTTGTTTAACACTATTTATATGAAATTGGTATGACATATTAGTACTGTAATTAAATAGTTATTAACTTACTTTAGCAGGCAGTTTTTCTTTCTTTAATCCAGGTATATTTTTCTTAATAGATACAACTTCTTTACTTATTTTTGGCTGGAATTTACCAACAGATGCAGTCGAAATTTTTGCTACATCTACAGCTGTTTTTAACTAAACATTTTTTTCAGTTAATTTTACTTAAAATAATTTTATAAAATATAATAATAAGAAAATAAAATGTACTTGATTTGAATGTAATGTTCCTTCTAAAGGAGGTAATCCAACTGAAGGAACTTTGATCTTACGTGAAGCAGCAATATTACGTAATCTCTGGTACTCATTTTTAGCAACACGTTCTTTTTTTGCTTCACGCTTTTGAGCAAATAAATCAACATTTGGATCAGTAGCATTACCAGGTACTTCTAATATCCAATCTTTCTCTTTATCAGCAGCAGCTTTTTTGTAACCATAAGTTGGTATCCATTTCTAACAAGAAAATATAACTTAAATAGTAATTAATAATGGCCTTTTAGGGGTCATCAAGATTAAAATTTTTCAAAATAAAATGGAAAAAAATAAGTTATTCAATAGAAATTCAAAATACTCAAAAATTATACAATTACGATTAAATATAATATCTTGTACATAGGCGCAAATAGGGGGGGGGGGGG